CGGAGATGGAGTAGGGAAGTGAGTTGTCTTTTACCTGGTGTGTAGCCATCCAGTGAAATCTCCTACAAGCTTCAAGAATTCAATCGTGAGCTGTAGGTAGGCTTGAGTGGGGAAAAAGCTGTGACTTGATCCATGCTCGGGCGAGACAGCTGGAAAGAACGATGAAGAACAGCCAGTCACCATAACCATAGCTCCTCAGGATAGGAGGTCTTTATAGTCCACCTCCGTCTCTGGGACCCTGAATGCTGGTCCTTTTGCCCAGCATACGTGAGGAGAGCTCCCATACATGGGTATCTGCCAGGATCCCATTGCCAAGACCTCTGAGAGCAGAGCAACTAATAGTTCCCTGATGCACCATGTCCAGCACCCTGCTGTCATCTACTCGCCTTCACAATATTAGAGGAGAAAGGAGGGTGGTACCCTCACCACCCCAGGGATGCTCTTCCCCAACCTCCTTCCTCCGAGGATCAAACCCCAACAAGCTTTCAGCCAAACTATTCACACGCACACCCTAGGTTCTGAAACGGAGCTACTGCCCCGGACGAGGTACAGCCCTGGAGTTGTGCCACACGAGCGTGGCAGGGCTCCCCACCACACTTGGCAGGGGAGGTGGAGCACCAGCTGCCTGGCACAGACTTCATCCAGAACAGTTTCCCCCCCCACACACTCTGGACACAGGACATGGCAATTATTTGCACAGGGTGAAGTGAGTTTATCTGCACAACAATAAACAACAGAAGAGAAATCACTCTGAACTTGAAAGAGACTAAAAGGGAGAAAATTAAATCTAAAGTATTCTTCCCATCCAGAAAAAACTCTCCCAGGAAAGGGTATGCTCCAGCTTCCTCAAGTTCTCTGCACATGTAAGATGTGCCCGTGGTCTTCTGCACACACTAGGATGTAAATGCCACCCAATTTCCTCCTCCTACACTCAAGGACTGAAGCAGAGATTGAGGAAGGCTGCATTTGGCAGAGGAGGAAACCAGTCTGAGAAGAAAATGCCTCACTGCTAACATACTTGCTGCAGGGAAGGTAATCCCATGGACTGCACACAGACGTGGCTAAGGCTTTGCAGCATCCTCCTGAACCATCTCACTGTTTCCTTAGCCTGTAGGTTGCCGGGTTTTGAGTCATGATTTACTCTTTTTGCACGCATGGAAGAAGTTTGCCTTCTCATGGCCATAGCCTGCCTGCCTCAAGCTGCCTTGCCAGACACAAACGGAAGGTAAACAGGCAGATGGGTTCACAGATTAAACTTCAAAACCGGTTAGAAGATTTATCCCAGCAGATGAACTCAAGCCAGATGTAACCCTGAGGCAGGATTCGGCTCACAAGAGATGGCAGATGAAGTGCCACCTTCATCACCCACAGGATGTTGAGCACAGCTTTTACAGCTGGAATTGGAGAGTTAGCCAGAGCTGTAGCCTAAGCCAGAGGGGCACGCCAAGCGTGCAACCACCCGGCAGCACGCGCCACCTCTGCCCACCCAGCACCGCAGCTTCAGAACGGGTTCGCGCTTCCAGTATCCTAACCGCAAGTGGATCGGTGCTCATCGGTTTGTGAGCAAGACGAGGCAAGCTGCCACTAAGCTGAAGGTTTGGCTGTATAACCACATGCAGGAAAGCAATGCTGGTCTAACTGCAAAATGTAGCATTAAACCAATGGACACGTTTGGGCGCACATGCATTTTTCTTTAGAAAATTATTCGTTTTCATGGATTTAGAATGGCTACAAGACAGAAAGACTTTTGCCCACACAATGCCTGTGTTAGCACAGCGGTAGCTGGGAAGGCTTCCTCACGTGCAAGCTGTTGTCTCTCACAGGATGAAGCTGTTCCAGACTCCAGCCCCGTCAGGATGTGTGCCGACTGCACCTCCTGGCTGCACGTAACAGCTCAGACCACAGCTTGGTTCTGAGGAAAAGCAGAAAGATGAGCACAGAACTGTGAAATCCATAGTCATGTTTCACATAAGCAAAGCAAAGGAGACAATATAAAAATCTGCAAAAAAGTTACAGGTATTGTTCAGGATATGACTTGATGCTCAGAAAAATATTCCTTGAAAAATAGTAGCAGGAACAGACAGGTAGGACATCTTCCCCTAGGAGACAAAGGCGTTACGGAGACCTGCAGAGCCCAGGGGCTGAAGGGTTTGTGCTACTCTGCCAGAGCATTGATCCTGCAGTAAAGCCTTCCCTTCCAGTTGTTCTCCTGAAGGGGAAGCAGGACCATCCACAGGATCGTCTCTTTTCATCTTCTGCACTCTTGCAAGAACAATGTGCACTTCTGCGGACAAAGCCTTGAGTCACCGCTCCCAGTTCGCTCTCCGAGGGCTCTGACTGCAGAGACTGAGTCACCCTGCAGTGAAAGGCTGTGACAGAAAGCTGGTGTCATTACACCCTCTCCTCCCCTTCTCTTCCATTAAAACATGACCCTGCTAGAAATAAACATTGCTGCAATTTGGGAACTCGTCAGAGGGAAAGAAACAGCAGAGATGCTTAAAAATTTAAAGTAGTTGTTGCTGCTGCCACCATTGCTAGACACTTCTTTCCCAGCCGAGACCTGGAGGTGACACCCAGCCTGCCAGAGCCACTTCCCCACCAGAACGCAGGTACACGGGAACGGGAAGAACCAGGGCTAATGCAGCCATCTTTTGAGTCAAATTCTCATCTCTTCTTTATTTCCAGCATTCGTGCCATGCACAGCTTGCAACACTAACAGAGCGGCACCGAGACCATTAGCTTTTGTTGATAGCTTCTGGAGGCCATGCTAGAACAAGTTATGAACCCCAAGACTCTTGTTTTCAGACAGCATGCAAAAACACCAAACCCTGGCGGTGGTGTACGCGTTCTAGCAAATACACAAGCGTTGTGTAAAATCATAAATGAACAAGCACTGGTCAATTTACAACAGGATCCAAAAAGTCCTGCCTTTACAGGTAAATGAACTAGCGAGACCTAAAGTCTTCCACTGGCCTAGACATATAACCTAATCCAGATGGATTTACATAGTTCCGGAATGGACGTGTATGAAACCTGAAAATTCACAATTTTTTGATGATTTAAAACCAGTCACATTACACACTTTTTATTTAATAGAAGTTAAAAACGGGTACAAAAATGTGATTCTATTTCTTTAAAATATAGGCTCAAAATAAAAAGACTGAACAATATAGTTCAGGCAGTAAAGTGCAAAGAGAGCAGCTATCCCAGTCATGCTTAATCCATAAATAACCCTTACACAGCAGGAAGGAACAGAAAGAGCCCACAGAGCAGGCGCAGCCACACCACGGCTCAGCTATTCGTGCACATCCACAGGAGAAAGAGCTGCACATCCCGGACACGGGTGGTAAGAGGCAGCGCACACCCCACAGGAGCGGGCTGCGGGGAACCGCAGGCCAGGTAAAACTAACAAAGAGGGAGCCGTCGCTTTTCCGCATCGTGGCGCACATACACAACACACATTTCTTTGAAATTCCATATTCTCCAGTCCACCGTTTCCCCCCACGATGCAACAAACTAACATGACAACTTATTAAATTATGATACTAGTTTCCAAACTGTTTTGCTCAGGTGAACCCCGTAAGTCTAAAAAAAAAAAAAAAGTACTGAATTGGCTACTGGACTACAGACAGGATGCTCTTCCCCCAGTTATAAGCATGCAAAAACGGCATCCAAAAGTCAAACTCCTTGTTCTAAGGGACTTCTGAGCAACAACAACAAAAAACCAAAACAAAACAGCTATGTCTCTTTCTTCACCACACGAACTTGGAAAACTGGGTATCAACACAGAACAGCAACACCACAAGCATCCACTTTACCGGGAAGAGGGGTTTCAACCGAGCCCTCTGGAGAGCACAAAACGAGGTTTGCATATGCGCACACACTCACCAGCGCATACGCTGCAGTCAGTGGGATTACAGCGCGTGTTGGGCAAACGGGGTGTGGACACTTTAAAGGTCAGGCACAAAAACTTTAGTACACTTAGCACAATACTCCAATTTAGTGCAGTTTGAAAACTTGTTACCATTAATTATAACCATAGACTTAAGTGTAAAAAATAGTGACGCATTCTGCTTTCAACTGAAACAGGTCTCTGCTGATTTCAGGGGAGTGCTAGCCAAGATCAGCAAGTCTGCACTTCCTTAGCTGAGAACCATGCTTTGCCCACACTGAGAAGCAAGACCAGGATTTCAGAACAACAAAGCAGTGCAAGAGATAGCGCATTCCCAGTTATCCACATTTTACACATCCAGGAAAAATAGTCCTCAGTTCTCAACTAAGCTCCAGTGTAGGAGTGGCTGAAGGGAGAAGAGTCCAGAAGGAATAAACACTACAGAAATATTTCATCCGGCAGGTGAGCTGTCTCCCAGCAAAAGAACACCCGGTGCTTCACAGCACAACAGCTCTACCACAATACATATGCGCATCCTTCCGCACCATGGAAACTGAGCAGTCCGACTGTGCTACGGGCATTTCGTTTTATTACTCGTACCACGCCATTACAACACAGCACTCCTGCAGCCAGTGATTCTGCTTCTTAGCCGTATTTACACTCGGTGTAAAAGAAAATCCATTCAACAGGGAGAGTATCTCATTTAATAGAAAAGGGTGATTTTATACAAAGTACTGTGGGGAAGTATAAGGCCACATGAAGAGCATCATCAAGTTGACACGGTGGCTATTTCTTAAGTCATGACACGATTAGTACTTCCTCTGGTGCTTTGATACAGGTAAATGAAAGCCTTGAACAATTTCCTATAAGGTGCACAAGCATCCACAATACATAAAAAAACCTTAATTTTCTATTTCTCCCATACTCAAAAAAAAATATAAACAGAGACCCAGCTAATTATTCATGGGTTGTCTTGCCATTTTTGCATTTTTCTGTAGATTTTGATATGCTGGTTTAGTAGGACTGGAAGTAAAGCATAATTTTTAGTGTCAAAGCTTCTAAACAGTGTTTGTGCTTCTACCTCCATCAGAACAGTCTGGCTCCTCCAAACTTCGTTCTGGTGGAGTGTGGACTCGGGAATGCTCAGTATGTCAAACTTCTACCAAAAGTCACAACGGCTTCCATTTGCAAAGGGTATGAATTTATAAAATGAGGATTTCAACACTTCTTTTCTGAAAGAAAGTCATTCTGGTTTGGTTTGGTTTAAAAACGATGACACACTTCGATCTCAAACCTCCAATGTCACCTGCGCAAGGAGGGTGTAACAGCACCAGCCCAAAGCAGGATCAGGATCTGCAAGTGTGAAAATCCCAACCGCTGTGAGCTATCAAATACTGTGTGTTTACAAAATGCTCTGAATACAATTCTTTAGATTTACTGAAAAGGAGTTTCCAAAACTCTGGGTCTCATCCTGTGCACCCCTACTAATGCAGATCAAGTAATTTGCCTGCATATCAAGACCAAAATGAATAAATACAAAATATATTTGGTATAGAAAATACTAGTATAAAAATTAAAAATCACCCTGTTTTACTGTCCATCAAAATATTAACAGCAAGCATTACAAGTGACTTTTTTAACCTATTGCCAAAATCATTTCCAAAGAGTTCTGCTTTCCTGAAGTGCTGGTGATTGCATTTGCCCAAGTGTTGAAAAAAAAAAAAAAAATAGGGAAGGGACGAGGAAAGATATGATAGATTTCTCGCATAGCATTATTAACAGAGGACCTAAACTGAAGGAAACTAAAGCCATTGTCAGTTCTGTTGTAGCCATCAGAGCTCTTCGTGATCTTCAGAAAGCTTGTAGAGAAGGCGCTCCCTCACACTAGCCCTGACAGACAGATGACGGCACAGGGATGAGCATACTCAGAGCGCTGCTGCTTTTCGGTTTCTCTGCTGTGGCAATTCTGTTGAGTTTGCCAACCTCTGTCTGCCAGCTGGGGATCTTCTTTGTGGTCATATGGCGGCGGGTGTGCTTTGTCAAGTGATCGCTGCGCATGAAGCGACGCTCACACACAGGACAAGCAAACTTCTTCTCTCCCGTGTGAGTTCTGCGGTGGCGTGACAGTTCATCTGAGCGGGCAAACTTCTTGTCACAGCCTTCCCAGTTGCAGCTGAAAGGCTTTTCTCCTGCAGAACATAAAAGAAGCGTAACTTACTTTTGAGAAGCTGTGTTACAGTTTTATCAAAGAACTAACTCAAATCCTGCCTTGCAAAAACTGATGAATTCCACAGAACTGCTCATGTGTGCAGTCAACATTAGCTTAAGCTCAAGTTGTGTTCCAGAGAAAAATCGTAAGTATCGTTTCTACTTACTCCCTCATATCTCTTTAAATGTTCTTTAATCAAATGTATTTTTTTAATTGTCCAAAACCCCAGTTTAAAGATTCTTCATAAAGCTACCTTATCCGCTGACTGAACTAGAAGCAACCCCCTGTCCCCATCCCTGTGTGACCACAGCTCTACGGCTGCTGCGTGTCATCAGCAAATACTGTGGGCAAACAGGAAGCCTGGAATCGAGCCTCAGAGTCCTGCTGCTCCAGTGATCCAGTCCTGCACACAAACACATCGCCCCAGCGAGTACTACTGGGGAATGGCCTGTCCTGCTGTCCCCACACAGCTGGAGGTCCAACGGACAGCTGGGGGAGTTCTGCACGCCCAGAAACAACAGCAGTCAGGAAGGCTGTCCACGTCAGCTTCTGCTCATCCTGCTTAACATCAGACCTATCCCAAACAACGTGATGTACCACCTGCAAACCCCATAAAGCTCAAGAGAAGCATCTACCACATGACCCAAATTTACGTAACACTTTGGAGCAGAACAAAAGCGTCCAGCAGAAAGGAAGCCCCACAGAAGCATTGTTCTTATTTCAGATATTGAGAGTAAAGTTCTATGTTTGGTGTATGTGATATCACCTAGCTACTCAGAGTGCAGGGAAAAGGTGGGAGAAGAAAGCTGAACTACTCTGCCCCCCGATCCTGTAACACGGACTGGCTAGTGAAGGGTCAGCGTGCTTCACCTCCCACAGATGTCCTAGTCTTAATCACGATACAGGGACACACACAGCTTCCCTATGGATCAGCAGCAGCAGCACATGCTCAAAGCAAGACACCTGTTGGTAGTCTGTGTTTATCCTGTAGTGCCAGGTTAATTCAGCAGCCTGCAGCACTTACTCTCAAACTAGAAGTAGAAGCATCATTCTACCTCTGATCTCTGGTTTACAAGGATTATCAGCTTCATATGGGGTTTAAGCTCTTTCCCCAAAGGAACTATAAAGACAAGCTGGCAAACTAATGCAAATTGTGCCACGGAAGCTGACATCCAATAAACCAGAGTGTCTGTGGGGCAAGGGAGGGTGACGGGAAAAAAGCCAAGGAAAAACAACATTAGACAAACTTTTGAATGAGCTATTCTGTACCAATCTCCCACTATGCCTGTCCCTCAGCATCAAAAATAGTCCCCGAGAACTCAAAGTTAGTGTTAACAGGATCTTGGAGCTAGAAAAAGGATAAGTAAAACACATGTATGCTGCCTCCACACTGACCAGATCTTAATGGAGCAAATCAGCTCACATTAATTACAATTAATTTTCATTTACCTTTAAAATTCCCTTTCTGTAACTGAATAAACTGCTACGTTCCTGTAGCAGCTCTACTTCCTAACACGGTATCCCAAAATCTCAATGCGTTCCCATTTAGCCTAAATGGGAATTAGTTTTCCAGAACTCTGGAAAAATGTGCAGTTTCTGACTTTCTCTCTTTTCTTTTACTCGTGTAACAATTAAGACCAACTACCTGTACTATGGTTTGCTTACACCAGACCTCTCCATGCCCCAAAACAAGGGACTTGCACAATTCATTTCGATCTAGTCCAGATGGCAGGATTCCGCTCAAACCTAAACACACACACAGAAGGCAAAGTTTCGCTCCAACTGAAGTGTGTGAAATTCTGACACTATGGGGTCAGCTGAGGTCTCAGAACAAAGTCTGTCTTGTTTTGCTTGCCCACAGAGAACAAACATTCCTCCCTTCTCTGAGATGAGCAGAAGTTTCCTGATCACCTGCCTCTTCCCTTTCCCACCCCTTCCCCCCCAAAAATGTGTGCTTCAGCACCCCGACACAAGCCAGTGCTGCAGCAACAAAGGACCCGCCCTGTTGTACACACCAGTGTGGGTGCGAAGGTGGGCTTTGAGGTGGGAACTTTTGAAATAGGTTTTCTTGCACCCAGGGAAGTTGCAAACATAATTCCTCCGTCTAGAAAAGTCCATCTGGGGGGCGCAGCTTTGACCAGAAGCGATGAACACAGGAGCAGGAGCAAGGGGCAGTAACTTGGTGTTCCCAACAGTCATTACTGTTTGTGGGCACTGCGGTGTCTGCGTGACAGCAGTCTGTGGAAGAACCAACATGACGGTCCCCTGAGGCACAGAAGGTCCCATGAGTACAGGCTGAGAGAGCGGGGCTGTCTGTGGTAAAATAGGTTTCATGGGAGTTGAGACTGTTGGAGTTGAAGGCTTGACATAGGCATTGATCATACTGCTTTGTCCATTTAAAGGGATCATTTGACAAAGAACTTGGGGGCTTGAAACAGGGGCAGGTGTCACTGGGGTAGCTCTTTTTTGCAAGTCGTTCTCACAATTCTTTGGTAAGTGGGTCTGTGGCGAAACAGGCCGGACTGGTAGTTCTCCTTTATTGGTCACAATATCACTGGAGTCATGTGCGTAAGGTTGATGTACTGGAGAGGTTTTGTTAATTAAATCATCTGCAGCACACGTGTCCTGTGGCAGTCTGGAATGTCTTCGGTCATCCGCTCCACACCATTCTCTGGAAGTGCTGTAGCCTGAAGTTA